CATATTTGACTTTTGTTGCAAAATGATAGATGACAGATTCAAGAGATGCTCCATCTCCTTAGTATAACTATATGTGCAATATGCTTTTTCCATTGTATAACAAGGTATAGCAAGCTCAAAGTTGTAGATCTGATCCTAAGTTTGAACTTAAACGAAATTTCGGTAATAATAAGACAATTAAAAAGGCCCCGCTTTACCATAATACATTTTTTTTTTTTTTGCAAAAGTCATTTTTATAGTTCTCTTCGAGGAATTGTAGCACGATTTATTTTTTTATTCGATACAGACCCCTGTTTCGGAAAACACTTCTTTAGTCGACGAAAATTTCTTCCCACCGAGCATTGGTTTTGAGACCTGAGAATAGGAAAAACTCGCTGGGGACCAAATCTGGAGAATACGGTAGACGCGGGCGCGATTCGAAACCAAATTCATGGATTTTGCTATCATTTTCACTGAATTGTGACACAGTGCATTGCCTTGGTGAAAGAGCAGTTTCTTTTTCTTTAAACGAGCTCGTTTTTGGCGACTTCGTCCTTCAAACGCTCAAATAACGATATGTTAACGTCGCTATGGATGAACCTTCCTTTTTTGAGGTAGTCAGTAAAAATTATTCCCAAAATACGGATGTCATAATCTTGCCAGCCGACTACTCCGTTTTTGCACGCTTTGGAGTGGGTTCATCGTTTACAGTTCGGCCGTATGACCGTCGATTGGACTTCGGAGTGAAATTCATTATATAGTTTTCATGAATCTACGTAAAAACTCGAGCTTTTTGCTCTCGAATTTCCCCAAACACTACTCCGAATCATTAACTCGTACAGAGGTTCCTCATACCCAAATATTGGTGAATGATATGACGTACATATGAATTTAATTCGAGGAACCATCTACATATATGTCAGTCTGAGAACTTTTCAACAGACCTGGTGCTGCAGCTATATTAAAACGAAACAACATTTCTATCGGAGTTATGATTTTCATGTGATTGTCTGCTTTAAAACTGCATTAATTTTTATTTCATGTTTCTTGCTTTGACAAGCAGTGCGCTCACAATAAGGAACATATATTTACCGATAAACAACCAAACGGCTCCTACATTCGCTTAGGATTTTGTCAAAGATAATGAAAGAATGCCTTGATCTAACATCCAATTTAAGAATAAACCTGTAGTTCATTCTTGGGCATATTGATATCCCTAGTAACTGTGAAGCAGGCGAATCTGACAGAACCTGTCTTACGCTACAATAAGGTTCTGGAAAAGAGCGAATTTATAAGCCTCTGGCTACTTGTAGATTTTTAATGGACAAGCATGTTATAATTAAAATAGAGTGAGGGGATCTTAGTCTCGATGGTTCCACAATGATCGTCCTAAAGGCCTAGGTGCGTAGTCAGCCACTCTACCTGCCCCCTACATTACCTGAACCAATCATTTCTAAGCCTTTCCCTTTTGCTGAAATCGCATACGCTCATAGACGTGTTAACAAAAGCTTTTTTTCTTTTCGTCTATAGTATAATGAAAAGAGTAGGGCTTTAAGCAATAGGATCTACATACATAATACATTTAATTGCCACCCTACTATACGCATACATATGTATACAAACTCATACCTGTCTATATACACTTAATGTCACTCACATACAACTGAAAGTACAGAAAGCAGAGAAAATTTCAACCGAGCGTGAAGAAGTTTGACCAATTCACTTAAGTCAAGAAGGCATTGGACGCACACAAAGCATTCAATAAGCACAAACGCCCACACGCACACACAAATTCATAGGTATTTGTTCACAAAACTGGCAAATTCAACGGCAAACATCACCTTTGGCCATCTTATTTAGTAAGCAGATCTGAAGGAACACAATCAAATACATATGTATAAATTTATGTGTGTATCAGCTAGGAATGCCTTGTAGCAACAAACAATTTAACAACGAAAACAACAAATAAATAAATAAAGCAATAAATCAGCAACAAAACAGCCTGCTACTGAATGTGGTCAAAGGCAAAGCACAACAAACATGTGTACGAAAATACGTAAAGTAGCAAGAAAAAAGATTTGCAGGGAGGTCAAAGGCCAATTTCAGTTCAGTGACTGCTTGTATTCTGTGGCCTTACTAACAAGATTGCGTTTATTCTTAAGCGAAGCGCAATCATTTAAACACAAAAAAGCAAGCCAAAAGCAGCCAAACGAAATTAGAAATGATAAAGAGGATAATTGTATGAAAAATTTATAAATGAAATCAGTGGAATGTTCAATTAATTAGAAAGGTAGAATTAATTACCAAAAAATAAAGGGTGATCTATTTTCAGGTTTCCTACCTTTTTTAAGAAAACCACAGAAACTTAAAATTTGGTGGGGATTTATTATCATTCAAAGAATATTCATCGACATTTGGTTTTTGAAGATTATCTCTTTCAAATGTTGGCTGCGACTACGTTTCAGATGGTCCATCCTTTTAGCAGGCGAATGAGACACGTGATGCTTCGGTTCAAGACCTAAAATGCAGCGAGATTGTCTGCATAGATTTTAGACTTTACATATTCCCACAGGAAAAATTCTAACGGTATGATATCACAAGAACTCGTTGGCCCATCCACAACATGAAACTATCTGCTCGCCCAAGTATTGAAAGAGTGTTTTGTGCGGAACAAACCATGCACACACCTTTCGTAAGCCCAAATGTTCGGTCAAAATGTGATAAATCGATGTTTTAGAGATGTTCAATTCCATTTCCATGAACTTCAATGATGAATTCACGGACAATTTCGATGGCATTTCCGCTGATCACGGATTTTGATTGGCCCACATGTTGATCGTCATTTATGTCCTCACGACCACTTTGGAAACGTTGAAACCACTCGTGCACTGTGCTACAGGATAGGCAATCATCGCCATAAACTTTTTTCATCAATTTAAAGTTTTACGGTAAAAGTTTTACCAATTTCAAAACCAAATTTAATGTTGGCTCTTTGTTCGAAGCTCATTTTCTCGCCGATAACACAAACATACTGACACTTTAACGCAATAACTTCACATCCAATCAATGCAATGTCATGAAATTTTCATCGGACAATCGATAGAGATAGCAGATTCTAACGCACCTGTCGACATATAGATGGCGCCACGAGGGGGCGCTATATTCAAAAAGCCCTGTTTACTTTGGAACACATTTTATATATGCTTTAAATTTAAGATATCGACATACAATGCACCAAGTCGTTCCATACGTCAGTTGGAGTTGCTGTGAACTGCGCCGAATCCACTCTTCACGGTCATATTGTAGCTTGTATTGAGCTTTTTCGATAGCTTATATTTCCATAAATATTATGTCAAATTGGGAAGGTCGTATCTTGAATAGTTTTTGGATGGCAGCGTTCTGAAGAGCGACCAATCGGAGGTGCAAACATATATTATATAAGTGAAACTTTAAAAGCGTTTTTCTCGAAACGACATTTTTCAAAATTGCTGACATCAAAAGTCAACGAGAAATTGACCGATACACTTCAAATTAAAACTGAGTATTTTCTAATACATATATTTACTATCCATCCTATCCATCATATCCAAAAATATTAAATTTTGATTCGTCGGAAAAAATAATATTATCCCAAAAGTCAAATTCTTGGAGTTTATATGTTTTTGCAAAATCCAGCCGTTTATTTCTATTGACGTCACTGACAAAGGAGTTTTTTCTAGCAATGCATAACTTAAATCCATTTCTATTTATTGATCTGCGCACTGTATCCGATGAAACAATGGTATTTAAAGATGTTTCCAATACAGTTGCTATATTCGGAGCACTTTCGAATGGATTTTTCTCTACTGTTCTCTTGATGAATCGTTCATCTCTCTCATTAAGCTTCCTAGGGCGTCCTGATCTGTGCTTATTTTCGACCCTTTTCTCCTTTTTGAAACGTTGTATTATTTTTTGGACCATTGCCTTACTTCTGCCGATGTATTTTCCGATTTCGGCATATGATTTAACATCTTTATGCATACGTACCACAATTTTTCTCTCTTCTAATGGCAATTCTTTTCGACACATGATTGTACGCGAAAAATAATTTACTTCGATGCGAATAAATGAAGGAATGAAGTTATACTGAATGCGGTCTGCAAACAATATGTTTTTCCAACACATCACAAGTCAAATGTACCGTTATTCTGCGCGCTAGCTACGACCGTATCGACCGTATCAACACTTTTGCTGTACCAATTTATTACTTACAGTTACATTTTTGACTACCGTTATTGATGCAGCAGCCAAATTTTGCTGTGTCGTTTCGATTATGAATGAGTACAATGTGGATTTTTAAATTATTGCCAAAGTTGCCTAAACTATTTAAACTTGTTGGAAATATCTCAATAATAAACTGAGAAATGAAAGGGTATCAAGACTTATGCTCTATACTGTATATTTACTATATAATGACCTACGATCTTTTTTATCGGTTGAAAATTGTCAATTTGGCATTAAAAAAAACTAAATTTTTTTCAAAATGTCGCCATTTTGCTAATTTTTGATATTTTTCAAAGATCGTAGGTCATTGTATTTTCTATATATCTTTAGGTTTAATACACTTTTCAAATTTTTTTGTTTCAGCTACGCATTCGGCCGGAATTGTACCAGCAGTTGGGGCAATTTTTTTGGCACCTCCGAAGACAGCCCATAACTCCGTTATTTTTCAACATTAAAAAAAAAATCTTAAAATATAGCTGAAAATATACCTTGTTACATTCGAAGAAGTCCGAAATATTCAATCGCATACTTTCTCTTAAAAAGAATCACGAAAATCGCCTAATTTTTCATGCGTCACACTGGTATAGCTCCTTAACCATCTTCCCTGTTCTCTATTGTTTTCAAAAATGTAAAAATACTTCCGGTTATTCAAATAGTTTATTTAAATATCGGATTTTTTTTATTTAATAATTAGAACATTAGCTCAGAAATTCAACTAAAGCATTTAATCTCGTAATTCTCTCTCGTTCTAATTGCAGCCACACAATTTGGTAGTCAACATAACCGCAAACAACCGTCCCCCACGCAAACACACACAGCTAATGACTGCAAATTAATACCAGCAACAACAACAACTGTGACGTCACAACCACGAACGCAACAATATCAACAACAACCGCTACACAAAACACACAAACAAATGACGGCGAAACGTAAAAATTCCAATTCCAATGAGATCAACAACACTGCAACGAGCGAAGCGCCATCTGCCAATACAACGACGAATACGATGACAGCAACAGTGACGTCAGCGGCGAACGCTAGAGCAAACAGCGGCACGATCGCCGCCAATAATGGTCCCTCACCGTTAGCGACAGCGCCAACCGCGCGACGGGAACCACACCTCAGCACGAGCAGCAATGGTGAGGATGAGACCGATGTAATTGGCGATTTGGTGGGACATTTCGGCAAGTGGCAATGCCTGATGACAATGCTGTTGTCGCTGTTTCAGGTGCCGAATACATTTCACATATCGTCGTCGGTTTATCAGGTGAGTCAGCAAATGTTGAGGAAGTGAGCGCAAACTTTCATGAGTGGCGCGTAATTGTGTGAATTCTGTGTGAAAATTGGAATGAAATGCTAATTGTTGTGGCGCTTTATACCCTTTATGAACTGTTAATAAAGTTTGTCACAAAGTTCTTAACACCTATAAAGAATCGTCGGAGGGACCATGCTCAACACCAGCTGAGACTAATGAGCCATGTCCGTCCTTTTGCTGTTTATAGACGAAATAGTCACTCGGCTGTGGAATTATCGATCTGAAATTTCAGCTGTCCTTTTCTCCTCAAACAGTTTCTAATTTGTCGGAAACGCCAATATCGCACCACTATAGCATATAGCTGCCATGCACTGAACGATTGGAACAAAGAGTTTGTATGGAAAACTTTTTTATTTGTTGAGATATCTTTACGAAATTCCGTATGAATTTTTACCCAAGACAGCATAACAATTTTGGAACAAATTGTTCTAATCGGGCCACTAAAGCATATAGCTGTCATACAAGTCAGAATAACAATGTCCAAAACAATTGTTGAAATCGGGCCACTATAGCATATATCTCCTATATAAACTGCTCGGCCATAATAAGAAAACAAAACTCCTTATACCATTTTCTGTTATAAATAATTCACATGGAAAGCGTATTTATATACAAATGTAGTTTGCTCAACAATTTTCTCACTTATGTCTCGCTGCAGGCGATCAACAAAAACTTCTGGTGCAGCCGACCACCGCACTTAAAACACTTGCCGGTGGATGTGTGGCGCAATCTTAGCGATTCCCAGGACAATTGCTTTCAGGCGAAGATTGACTGGAGTCAAATGGGCAACAACAGCTTGCAGCTGCAGGTAAATATTAAAACAACAATAACACTGAAAACACGACACAATGCACACGGCTGCCACCAGACTAGAGGATTAGCTGCAAATTGCCAAAATTTTCGCAACCATACTTTGCCGTATGAACCCCCTCAATCACACTGTAGCCGGCTTGTGCATGTGCGTGTCTACTGTTTGTGTTGCATACTCGACGCGCCGCGCAGCCAAGCGTGAAATTTCTACAAATACGACAATTTAATGTCTACTCTTTCTCTTGCTCTTCCTCTTCTTGCAATTTCTTTCCGCTGCCATGCACCTAACTGTGCACTGTTGCATGCCATGTGATCACATTTATCTTAAACACAAACGCATCCACATACACTAGCCAGCATTGCAACAACTGATACGCCAACAACAGCAAGCACAAGGCATTTTACCACACGACGTCTCGGCGGTGTCGGCATTTCACAGTTATCTACTCTCACCGCTGGCAGTTGTGCAGAATGAGACACGCATACCCTGCACCGCTTGGGAATATGACGCCAATGACAATTTGGGCAACACATGGACTTCACAGTGGGATTTGGTGTGCGACAAGGAGTATATTAAGAATGTGGCGGAGATGTTCTTTCTGTTGGGTGTGGCAACAGGTGGCATACTGTCGGGCTATTTGTCGGATAAATTCGGCCGCAAAAAGATGCTCTTCGTATCTGCTGTGCTGCAGACGATATTCGGTAAGTCTGTGCCAACAAAGGGCAACAAATATTTATATTAAAATGCCTTAGTAGGCATAACGTCGACAAATTTCATTCAACTGGAATTCAAAGACTGGCAATAAAAGATTAATTTATGAGTTCAAAAGTTTGTCATGGAAACTCTATTTATTAGTGAATGTTATGGTTCTTTTAAGTAGCCTTCTTAGCAAGCAACACTACTTTCTACAATTTCTGCATTTCTAAATACAATACGAAACATGAAAAAAATGTAGCAAAAGCTTAGAAGCTGTTGGATCATTCTTACTTCCAGCTTTAGCTGTCGGTTCTAGTTCTAGTTAAAGCTTAGTAGCCTTTTTGAAATTACTTTAAATTTTCTAGATTTGTATAAAGTTATGAGCGCGTACCAAATATTTACATAGAAGGAGAAATTAATTTCAAGATTCGACTTAAGAATCTCTATTTATCCTCTTTTAGCTTTTGCTAGCCGAGCTTAGCTTTAAAAACCGAAAAGTATTATTTTCCTTACTTTGCTGATACATTGTCATATCCTTGTCGGGGAAGTATATGAGCTCGTACATTTTAAGAGATAGCATATCACTCTCAGGGAACAAAAGGTAGAGTTAAATTTAATCTATTGACTGTCAGTTAAGGTTTCGATATCAGAACGGGTTGCATCAACATCATGAGTTCTAAATTCTAACTCAGTCTTTTGGAAGCAAGAACGTTCAAGCCGTTTGAAACTACATTATGACCAAGTTTCGGTAGCAGCATCAATCTGTAAAACTAGATTTCTAGCTGTTAGTGCTGTAGAGGCCTGGGAGACATTCCCTGGACGTAAATACAATTAATACATATACATTATACAATAATATACGATAATCAGTGGTCATTTTAGTACTTCGAATCAATCGAAGTAACGAGTTTTCTAACTCGAGTCCTCTCTTTTTCTGCTGTAAAGGATCTAGGGTGCCTACAACCTAGTTCTACAAGAAAGCGGAAAGTGTAAACATTGACAAAAGGGTTGTTGTTGTTTGAGCCGCAGAACTTTGCTAAATTGGCAGACCCTGAGGGATAAAAAATCCGGTTCCGTTCCGGTTACATAGACCCGACTCTAATGGGAACGGATGACCAAAGACAAAAGGGTCGCATATAGTCTTGTAACTTTTCTCTCTTCTATCATTTCTCAAGGTCGGTTTTCGGACTTTTTTCTGACAAAGCGGAAGATGATTGAAACTAGGCCAACCGATAGAAGAACATCAGTGCTCGGAGATTGTAATATAAGAGAAGATATTTCAAATTATTAAGAGGTCTTCAGTACCATTTACTTAGTGCAATTTGAGAGAGCGTTTTATCCCCCAATATACCAAATTTGGACTTGGACTCTGCTGCTGTGCACCTTTATTCACGCAAACATGTGGACAACAACAAATATGCACATGTTTGCAGTGCTGTAGCCACTTGAAGTCATTGATTCGATACTTGCTAAGGTCTTTTGTTGGTGGTGTCTAAGCACCGGCAGTAACTGTTGCCAATGCAATCAACACAATCAGAAGTGGCTGCGCCATGCAATATGTATGTGTTTGTAGTGCACACATACATACGCAAACACCTGCTTCAGTTAATGGCTTATTTGATTGGCAGCCTTGTTAGAGTGGCGGCATTGATTGTCAAGTTCAGAGTCAATTCCTGCCAGTTGTAGCCACAATCAATAGCCATTGTTGAGGTGTTTACCATTGTAGTTGTTGTTTTTACAAACACTTATTCATTGTTGCATTACATTTGTTGTTTTAGCAGCTAGGCTGACACTGGTCAGTGGTAAATGTCAAAGTCAACTGCAAGTGTACAATGTTGAAATTTAATTGCAAGCACAAGATAAAAACCACAAAGGAGAATAATTGAGATGGAGGGAAGGATTAAGATTGCTCTTTCATTTCAGAACGAGAAGCTTTTATTCACTCAAATAGTTTGGAAGTGGTGCGCAACATTGGTGTTTATTTTGAATTTTATTTATTTATGTATGTAGATAAAAAATATATCCTGCCTTATACTTTAAGCATTGGAAAAGCAAACGAAAGTGACCATCTACAGGTTAAATTCTTTCTGAACACATGACTTTAATGCAATATATCAATTTCTATACGGATTTTTCCTCTCAGAAACCTAACAGATAAATATATTGGTTGTCAAAAAAGTCTTGCGGTATTTTTGCGATATTTTCATTGAATTTTCAATTGTTTATAATATAGCTTTTGACCGATGCTACGGCTGCTACTATGCCAGTCTCTTTCGACTAATTCAGCGATTTTATGCCGTATTTTCTCTTTATTTTGATCCATGTTTGCAACGCTATAACACACGAACGATAATCAATCAAATACGTGTTAGCGGGTGAAATGGGCTTTCCGAAAAGGTATAGCATGACCCGATGCGAAGAATGAAACTAGGACTATGCGCTCTCAGCGCCAACTAGCAAAAATACCGCAAGACTTTTTTGACAACCTAATATTAAAAGGTACTTGGATTTGGACCAGTAATTTAATTTCAGTTAGCTAAAGACTTCATTTCGAAGAAATATGTTATAGGCCTCACTTGTGTTTTTGAATATCTCTATTGTTCTCAAAGCGAGTTACAGTTCTAAGTTGCATAGTAGTATTATAGAAGACCCATCGTTAAAAAGTTATATTTCAAAATTATAAATGATAAAATCTCTCCTGCTAATTTTATAGCACGATGGGCGTGACACCGTCCCTTTTTGATGAAATACCATATCTCAGAACCAGACCAACCAATTTTTAAAAGTGGCATTCTTCTTACATTCTTATATGATATTGTGAAAATAGACGAAATCAGACATTAATCACGTATACTATATATAGCACAATTTTAAATTTCACTTGATTCGTTCAGTTTCCATTAGGTAACTAATAATTAAGGGATAATCCTTCTCTCATAATGATATGCATGTATGTATTTCAAAAATTGGACTACTACTTCCCTTAGCCCCATATACTTAATATGTAGGATCTCGAATTTCGTGGTTACTTTGTACCGCATACCGAACCGAGAGCGTGTTCTCCTCATAACAGTGTATCTTTGTGCCTAAAATGGATACAATTTACTGAAAACTTGACCTAGCTCCCATATAGTAAGTAATATCAGGATTAGCAAATTGACTTTACTCTATACTATTTTTTTACACCTTAAGGTATTTCCCTGGCTTTGATTATTGAAAATTGCAAAAGTATAAAAATGTTCGGTTGCACCTGAACTTACTTTTTTAAACTTTTTTTTGGGGAATTTTTTATTTATTTAGAAAAAAGTATATTTTACAACGATTATAATCTATGATATAACAATTTATAACGCAATCTTCACTGATTTTCTCACAGGTTTGGTGCTGTACTTCCCAAAATCTTTGGAAATGTTTCTGCTGCTTCGCGCCCTGCTAGGTTTAGTGTCCGTGTCTGTCACATATGCGGGCCTCATTTTGGCCATTGAGTATGTGGATGGCAAGTGGCGTACCATAGCCGGCATGTACAATTTATTTCCACTGCCCATATCGTACATGTTGATCGCCGGCATCGCCTATCTGACGCAGGACTATCAGCGGCTACAGCTCTGCATCGGCCTACCGGGAATATTTCTTTGCTTTCTATGGTGAGTAACAACTCAACGGTATTTAAAATTGTGCGTGAGTACCAAATGTTTTCGATATGTTTGCGTTCTTCCAATATATAATTAGATTTTCAAAATATATACAAACATAATGATCATAATAAAAATTAACACACTTCATTAAGTAATTAAATTAAAAAACAAACTTAATGAGAACAGACAGTTTGATTTTACGTTAAATAATTAAACACACCACGAGAAGTTCTAATTTCTTAATCAAAATATGCTGAGTAAAATATTAAAGCATTTGTCTGTGTAGTACTCAACTGATTTTTCTCACGTAGACGTGTGATTTTTGATACTTGTTGTTTATGTCCGTGTGTGGGCGTCGATTGAATGAATAAATATTGTTTTAGTTTCTTATCGTAAAATTAACATGCGCAGGCTATGAAAACAGACTGCGATTAAAACAATAACAAAAGAAAATAGTTTGGAAATTTTTGTCTGCTGTCTTTGCAAATTGAAGTGAAATTATTTACATCAGTCAGTTGATTGAAGTTTTGATTTCTTTTTCCTCGATTTTGAATTGGTCGATCGAATGTTGTAAGCGCGATGCCAATAAAATTAAATATAATATATTATACTATAATTTAGTAAAAAATAGTAATAAACTAAAAAATAATAATAATAAAAAATTAAAAAAAAAATATTTATAAAATTTGTTAAGTTATTAAAATAAATTGGCAACTGAACTATGAGAAGAATATAGTTATACAAGATTCCGATAGCTAACGCCAGAGTATACTTAAAGTTAGTGCTTAGATTTAACTCAAATCTGAGTTCTTTATAGATAGTTGATTGCACCCGATAAACATTTTTCCGCCAGATGGCGCTAAATTCGATTTTTTTCTAAACTAGTACAATCAGTTCAATATTTTTGTTATTTTACTTTAGGTTTCATAAATTCTTAAGAACGTTCTGTATGCTACGATAACGTTAAATTGTAGGGTATTTCCTAATAGGGAGCTCGCTTGAACAGCTTAGATCGCCGATCTGTTGTGTTACCGAAAACACCTGTATAATACGTCATAACATCCTTAGAAATCGACAAAATTCTTTGAGCTTATCACTAATTTGTTTAGATAACTCTCAGTTTCGGCTTTGTCTTCTTGTACGCCGAAGATAAGACTACCGCGAAGTTTCGGCCTTAGTGTTAAAAAACTTACACGACCTCCTAGTATAGTAACAGCGTCACTCTCAGGGAGAGATTCTCAATGCAAATATTAATCTGCAAAATTATCAAAGAAAAAACAACAAGGGAGTTTTTAAGAAGATGACAAATATTCAGACGGAAATTACAAACTTTACTAGGTCTGGTAGGGTAAGGGAGATATGGGCCGATCTCGCAGTGTGTTTTTAATATAGTAAAGGTAAAATATCAACCTAGTTTCCTTGAAACAAAGTAATTAATTTTATTATACTTTTGTAGTTGAGTTAACTGGATGATGCAGCTTAGCTTTTTATATAAAAGAAGTGAGGTTAAGTTCTGATTTCGCCTATTTCCGAAATATTGTTATTCTGGAAATACACATTTCGTGGCATGCCAAGGCTTTAAGTATGTATAATATATTTGCATTATCTTTACCAGTTGATAAGCTTTACTGAGAGCTTGAAAAATATCCCGAAAACGTCAAAATTTCTTATTATAATTCTTATCAAATTAATTGTTGTATTGCACTTTATTATTTTTTATAATCATTGCAGGTTCGTCGTGCCCGAATCTCCACGCTGGCTTTTGGTCAAAGGTCGTATTGCCGATGTGAAGAGTATAGTCGAGCGTGCCGCTAAATTCAATGGCCGGCAACTACCACCAGACTACGAGTCCATGTTGAAACCACCACCGCAGGAAGACTCATCACAAAATTGCATCAGCCTCTTCAATTCGGGCTATCTGCGCTGTGTGACAATTTGCTTTCTCTGCATTTGGTTTACAATGAATCTGGTTTACTATGGACTCATACTGAATATGAGTTCGTTTGGCGGAAATGTTTACTTGAATTCGGTGAGTTGATAAATGTAAAAAAGTTTACATATGTATGTATATGGTTAATTTAATACAAAATTTACACAAGACAGAAGAAAACAAATTTTGTAAGCTTTAGATGATATAGTATTTGTATATCAGACTGGTAAATACTAGAACATAAGTACGTACATTGTTCACGTATGTATACGTAACATATAGTCCATATGTTGCAAGTATCCCATCAATCCTTCGTTCGTTTTACTTCTTTCTCAAAGCAACGACAAAATCAAACGTAAATGAAAAATTAGATAAAATTAACACAATTAATTAAATTAAACTTCAAGCTTGACGTGTTAGAACATAAAGACAGATTTAGCGCTTGTGAAGTGCGTTTTACTAGGCAATCGTATTAAAGCAAGGCAAATAACCATCAAAGATGAGTTTGTGTACACGTGTGAAAAGCTCATTTCCTCCGGCTGACGGCCCATGTGCTAAGTAATTAAAATATTGTGAAGAAGTTGCATTCACAGACATAAAAAACCGTTTAAGAATCTAACTCACAGGCATATGCAGCTTATGTGCTTTAAGCGTTTTCTTGTGTTAACTGTCAAGTCACTTTTTTTAAGTTTTAATTGAATTGAAGGAAAATGAAATAAACACCAAGGTGGCTAATATATAGCTAATGAGAAACAATTTGGTCAGATGTTTGGTAGAAATTCTGTCAGTTTTTACATCTAATTCCACGTTTGCATAAGCTAATCTAGAATTCTATGAACAAAATTGCTAAATAAAACCCATTTTCTAAAATCTTTAGCCCGCGAGGCCCCACACGACCACGAAAGTACACTTTTTCTAAAAATTCTAACCTCAAAACCTCTTTACCAAGATCTGACGACCAAGTTAGACCACATGAAAATTTTCACAGACGAATTTTAGTTCCATATTAAATGCAGTTTAAACGTATAGTCAATTTGCTCCGTGAAGGGATAACAAAAACTTTTTCAAATCAATATCCAATTTTATTACACTACTTCAGGTACATATTGATACCAATTTTGGGATTTGGTAAAACTGCTAATAATAGATGAGTAGTCATATAAAAATCGGAACGCCGTAACCTTCCGAGTATTTAAGTATTAATTTGGACCATAACTGATGTTGGATAATTATAAAGACAGTCGATTCTATGTTCGGTTTGAGAATCATAAAATCTTTTTTCGTTTATGACCCACCGTATAGAAGTTTTGTGTACCACAACGGCATTCTAAACAGTCCAAGTTAGATCCCTACTGGGACCTTAACCGAACATAACCTTGCTTCTTAATACAATCACGTTAGATGAAATGAAAAAAAATGTGTATTTCGACAGTTGATAATTGTTTTGGTTTCACCTCCTATGCATAAATCTAAGATTCGTTTTCAATTACAATGCTACAACTCAAGTCCCTGTATGGAAGATCTTTTTTTTTTTTGTTACATGATCTTCTTCTTCTATATTGGCGCAGACACTACTTACTCGGTTATAGCCCAGTTTGGAATTCCAACTGTAGCCATGTACTTCTCCCCTAGTTTTTCGAATGGAGTGGTCTTCCTATCCCCATGCCTCCCTAGACGGATACTGCGTCGAATACTCGTTACATGCATGGACTAAGGTATTCGCCAATACCACTGCCCAAAGGACCATAAATCGTCCACAGAACCTTTTTCTCGAAAACTCGTAACGTCGACTCATCAGCTGTTGCCATCGTCCATGACTCTGCACAATATAGCAGGACGGGGATAATGAGTGACTCGTAGAATTTAGTCTTTCTTCGTCGAGAGATTACTTTCCTTCACAATTCTGCCTACTTAGTCCGAAGTAGCACCTGTTGCCAAGAGTATTAGTAGTTTTACGTGGATATGAAATTCAGACAAAGTGGTATAAAGGCAGCTGCCTTTCGTGTTCTTAAAACAGCTTTAAAATCGGCGAAGGGATAATGTTTAACGGTCACCTTTTCACGTGCCTTTTTCAAGATTTGGCGCATGGTGAATATCTGGTCAGTTGTTGGTTTTCCAGGCCTTAAGTCACACTGATAACGTCCAATCAGTTTGTTGACGGTGGGCTTTAATCTTTCACACAATACGCTCATCCCACGGCAATTGGCGCAAATTGTGGGGTCTCCCGTTTTGCGGATTGGGCAGAGCACACTTAAATTCCAAATTTGCTTTCATATGACCATATTCTACAAAGAAACTGATGCATGCTCTTTATCAGTTCTTCGCCGCCGATTTGAATAATTGCTATTTGAACTTCTTCATGATCGAGTAATGAAACGTCTGGGGATTTGGTTTTCTCCTGGTGTTGAGCTTTCACTACCATTAGGCAAGCATGTAAAGTGTTCCCTCCATAATTCAGTATGCTCTGTGTATCAGCAACTAGATAACCTCTGGTGACTGATAGCAAAAGTATGCTCCGAATCAAAACCAAGATCTTGTAAGGAAACTTTTGAATTTGTGAAAGATATTATAGCTTCGAGGTAACCAAAGTAAACGTTTTTTCTTGTTCTTTTATTATTATTTTTTTAATTCAAGTACGGCTGAGGATTACTTTTTGTTTCATCAGAAAAGAAATTCACTAGCTGAATATCTCCAAATTCTGAGTGAAATATTTAGATTGATAGAAAACGCTTACTTAGCAACTCAAATTTAACTTGAAATATGAACAAAATAATGGTTTACATATCCGTGCTACACTGCACTTTGTATCAACAGTACGATGAGATCGAAATTAACAGATCATTAAGCTTTCAACCATGCGCTTCACTGGTTGTCTACGAGAACATTGCCCGCTGGCGCTGTGCCAACTTTCTTTCAATAAGATAGAGACGTATCTAATAGTATTGACAAGGCATAAATAGCTAAGTAAATACCATAAATATATAATATATAAATTTAAATGCCTAACTAAAACATAACTGAATCACGGACTGGCAACAATGCTGTTTTTATTTATCCATTTTTTTATACTCTCGCAACAAAGTTGCTAAAGAGGGTATTATTATTTTGTTCACATAACGGTTTTTTGTAAGTCCTAAAACTAAAAGAGTCAAATATAGGGTTATATATACCAAAGTGATCAGGGTGACGAGTAGAGTTGAAATCCGGATGTCTGTCTGTCCATCCGTCCGTCTGTC